ACTATAATCATACAAAATTGATTAATTCATACTCAAACTAAATAAACATAAGTCGATTAATACATACATATTTTACCCCTCCAATTTTTGCTTTGTATAACAAAGCTCGTTCCATCAACGACTACTTGAGCGTCTATTCACCTGTCGTTGGAACCTCTGTATTAAAAATAAAGAATAAAAATAAAATTTATTAAGCATATGTGTCATAATAATCAAAAATCAAGAAGCGCGTTCACAGTCGCGTATGTTTGTACTTTTGATTCGTGATTCGTGTTTTTTACTCACGATGAATCCCTCAGGCGAGTAAGCCAGTGGGATATAAGAACACTTACAGCCGAAACTGTGACCCCATTTTACACCAATTTAAATAACTTTGCAGAGATACTCACCCTGTCCACTGTGGTTCATATCCCGCATTACGTAATACTTCAACAATATTCGCTTTAACGCTCTGCCTACTTCGTATGAGTCATGATTTAGGTGAGGTTTTGTAAATTTTGTTGAAGAAGGGAAGTTTGAAGAAACTAGATTTCAGACTTCCCTTTGATGAGAGTATATATATGGGGGTGTTTCCAGACGGATCATATGATTTACTATATATTTTACTGGAATATGTTTACTATAGATTTCATTGAAACATACACGTCATAATAACAACAATCGTATTTACATTTTTGCCAAAATTAAATTCCATTGGTTAGTTACATGCGAAAACTTGTTGGATCGGGAATTTTTGTGCATGATGATTACCAATTGAGGAAAATATTCACAGATATGTGTTATTAGTATAAAACGTCACTTCATTGCTGGTAGTATACTTAAATTTTCTATATCTTTTAAAACTTCCAAATGTAAAAAAATCTATCTAGGTTCAATTTAAAGCAGTTTAATAAAATAATCCTGCCTTGAACCAAAAAAATGTAATATAACAAATCATATCATATCATATTTTGAAAAATTGCAGATAACGTTAGCAATCGATTTAAATAAGGATCAATGTAATACTAAATCCGGTTCGTTTGTAGTACAAAGTTAATCTTATGACATTTAGTTGCTTTTTTATTATTTTTGTATAATATGTGATACCCCATGATCTTGTATTGTATATTACTGTGAAACAGAAGTTTCTGTATAATGTATGAGCCAATTTCTATCTTACTTTGAAAATTCTTTAAAAATGACTTTCGAATATTTTCCTAGATTATCTCAGGATTTTTCTCAATTGCTTGATGATGGAGATGATTATGATGTTATTATCAATGTTGGAGAAGATCCAAAGATTAAAGAATTTCATGCACATTCGGTTATCTTGAAGTCTCGATCACCTTATTTTAAAAGAGCCCTCTCTCAGAATTGGATTACAAAGAAGGATGATGTGATTAACTTTACCAAACCAAATATTTCTCCAATCATTTTTGGTATGATTCTTAGGTAATCATGTTCTTGAATTTTTCTCATCTAAATTTTCGTCACTGATAATTCCAAAATTTTACGTAACAAACACTTTCAACGCATGAAATTTTAAAACTATTACTTATTTAACTTATAAATTATATATATTTTGTTTTAGATATATGTATACTGGCAAACTTGACTTGAGTGAACATGCTGGCTCTGATGTCCTCAATCTTATTTTAGCATCCGATGAATTGCTTCTTGATGAATTGGTTACTTCAGTACAAGAGTACCTGATTAAAAATCAAGCAGAATGGTTACAACAAAATTTATTTAAGGTCCTTCAAATAGTGTTCCAATTAGAAAGTTGTAAACTGCTCCAAAATTATTGTTTAGTAACTATTTGTGATGAACCAGATTTTTTTTTTGATTCACCAAAATTTCCAACATTAGAAAAAAATGTTCTACTAAGATTAGTCGAAAGAGATGATTTACAAATAGATGAAACTGAATTATGGAATTATCTTATTAAATGGGGGATGGCTCAATCTTCGGAATTGAAAGGAAAGGAGATTAATAATATAAGGAGTTGGGATGAAAATGATTTTATGGTTTTAAAAAGTACTTTGAATCAATTAATTGCTCACATTCGATACTTCGAAATTTCATCAAAAGATTTTCATAGTAATATTTGGCCACTTAGGAAATTGTTACCTGAAGCACTCTTCGAAGATATTGTGTCATTTTATATGGCAAATATTAAACCTGATCAATATAATTTGGCTTCACGGGCTTCACGTCATGTAAAAGTAACAGTTGATTCGTTAATCATAAAACTGAAACATGCGTCTATCCTTGCAAATTGGATTCAAAGAAAAGATTATAATGCAAAAATCCGTAAGGAAAGCAAATATGACTTTAACCTAATTTATCGTGGAAGTAGAGATGGTTATGATACAGATATTCTACGTAGAAAGTGTGATGGAAAGGGCGCATGTATTTTAATCATTAAAACTAAAGAGAATGATACAATAATTGGCGGCTATAACCCTCTTGGTTTAAATTATTATTTTAGACCACGCTATAGAAATAATACCGAAAGTTTCATTTTTTCTTTAGGCAATGGAAAAGATTTAAAAAATATTAAAATTAGTCGAGTTAAAACTAGTGATTTTGCGATATATGAATGTAGTGATCAAAATATACCATTTAATTTTGGTAATAGTGATTTGATTATTAATAAAAATTCTGGTACAAGTAATCAAAGGCATTATGAAAGTAGTATTTTAGATACAAATAATTTTAGCATCGAAGAAATGGAGATTTTTAGGTTTATAAAGGATTAATAATTTAACAGTTTTTTTTTTAATTAGAATTTCAGAAAAAGCATGTCATTTTTATCTTTTTACGTTTTTACAGTGTGCTTATTAATAAACTTCTTTTGATTCATTGACATATTTATTGTGACTTAGGTTACTACAATAGAACGGAGTATGATTATACAGTTCCTTACAAATACAATCTATTGAATTTGATCTATGGTAAATTCGTAGAAGGATATTTTTAGTTTATAAGTCACTGAAATTTATATTAATCAATTGGAGGTTCAATATGTCCTTAAAAATAAAAGTCAATAATAGTTTACGCGGTACTAAATCGAATTAATCGAAAATTTATCTATAATGGCGTGATTAAAAACTAAATGCGTAATTTTTCAACATTCAACATTTCTTTTGATAAATAAAAAAATATTTTTATATTTTAATTAATTTTGATAAAAAAAAAACTAAAAATTGAAAAAATAATGCACAAATCAAATTAGCCAATCTTTGTGGCTAAATGCGAAAGACCAGAAAAAAAAAACACTAAAAATGATGTAAAAAAACATACAGTCTCCGGCAGAAAGCTCGAACCTGACTCAAATGTGGCAAATGATTTGCTAAAATTATTCGGGTACGCATTCATAACCCAAACCAAAAACACCTTTACGGATAATATTTAGTGCTCCGTAACCCTTTGAAAAAAGTTTTACAGGTTTCATACTGATTTCGTACAGGTGTATACTGAAATCATACAATTTTTATGTGGTTATTTCAATTTCCATACAAAAATAATTATACAGAAATTTTAACATAGAGAAATCGTACATAAAAAAAATTTGAAATTTGAAATATATAAAAATTGTGCTAAATTTGTATTGAAAAATTTTATATTACTGGACACTCAAATTATTTCTTAGCATTTGAAAATTTCAAATTATATTTTCAAGTAACACTCTAAATCACGTATATTGTTGTAACTCTTACTGAAATATAAAGTCAATACTTGATTCTTGCAAGATATGTACACGAAAGTAATTAAAAAAAAGTTTACTAAGATATCCGCATTATGTCATATAAAGAAAGTGTCATTTACAGTATTTGAAATGTGAATAGAGGTATTAATTCCGAAATAGATCGAAAATAATTATCGCTCATATCTTTTCTTAAAATGATCGCTTTTATGGCGCTTTTTTCTCTTCGGATTCGTTTGCGCAATATTTGGTTTTTTTTTAGTTTCGTTCCAAGCGCGGCGATCGATGTATTTCTTAAACTTAAGCTTCTTTATGTCCCTTTCGGACTGGATTCATAAAAAAGTGAATCCTTATAAAAAATAGTCCCGAAACGATATGAAACTGAAAATCATATTTTCGAATTTACTAATTCCTAAATTTCACGATTTCCGAAACATTATCAATATCCAGAATATTCATTATCTCGCTATTAACTATTTTTTTTGGTTTAGGTCATATTTTAGTTAAAGGTGGGATTTAAGACCAACATTAAATATGGCTTGGTTTTCACAAATTGATATTATTTTAGGTACCGGGATTAGTCATTATCGGGAATATCATGACTTTCGAGTTTTCATGAAATAATATTCGAGATTTCGAAATTGGGGTTATAAAAGATTTCGATATTCGTGTTTCGTGATTTCGAGTTATTATGTTTCAGAATAAACCCCATAAAAGGTTATTTCAATTATTTTTTTAGTTTTATTTTTTATCTTTTTAGGAAATTTCATTTGGGTTGAATGCATAGGTAATAAAAGTTTTCATTAATTTTATTTTTTTTTTAGGAGGATCGCAGGTTTTTTCTTTATAATTATCTTTTTTATATTTCTTTTTTTTTTTTACTTTACAGTTAGATCGCTTCGTCTAACTACCTTGTATATATTACGTATTTTATCATTGTAAGCTATTCTCAAAAAACTGAGATGGCATATGATGGTGGATCGTAGAGCTACGCGTCTTGACTTAGGATTATTACTGCGTCTGCAATTTTGATATTTTTAATATAAATATCAGTCGGAATAAAGCGATCAATAGGATCTCGTGAATTCGGAAAAAAGTGATATTCGACGCTCATTTTATTAAAAAAAAAAAAAAATAAAATTTAATATAATATTTAATGAATTAATATGTATGTCTATTTTACAATTAATATTTAAACTGTAAAAAAAAGACCCAACTTTATCGATAGCTTTCTCGTATATATTTTTCTGTTGTTCATTAAAAGTTGCAAAATATGCTATTTCCTTGTTCAGCCAGCAGAAATCTAATGCATCTAATGCATCTCCATGATCATAATAAGTTATAACTTATACTAAGCCTCCTAATATCCTTGATTAGCCAACTACTTAAAATTTAAATTCTTTAACAAACTTTATAATACATTTTCCTAAATTATATAATAAACTTTATCAAAATCACTCATTAATTTAATTTATGTACACCAAAATTATTGTTGCGGCTGCATCGTTATATAATTTTCATTATTAATTTCTGTTCCAATTTCAAAACAAAATTGTGCATTTAAATTTCTTTATCAACAGACATTTGATAATAATCATATTCTCTTATCTTTTTCAGCACCATAACCTAATTCATAATATTCACCCATATTATACAGTCCAACTTCATAACCACTTTCAGCTGCTTTTTGATACCAGTAAAAGGTTTTCCTAAATCCTTTTCTACACCCTCGCCTTTCTCATATAACCGCCAAGTTTAACCTGTGCAATATTATATCTATTTTCGGCTGCTTTTTGATACCAATAATAGGCTTTTTTAAAATTCTTTTCTGTACCTTCGCCATTTTCATATAAACAACCAAGATTATATTGAGCAATATTATATCCATTTCCAGCTGCTTTATAATACCAAAAATAGGCTTTTTCAAAATTCTTTTCTGTGCCTTTACCATTTTATATAAATAACCAAGATTATTTTGTGCAATATTGTATTCATTTTCAGATGCTTTTTGATACCAATAAAAGGCCATTTTTAAATTTTTTTCTGTGTTTTGATCATTTTTATATAAACAACCAAGATTATATTGTGCAATAGTACAACCATTTTCAGCATTTTCAGCTGCTTTTTGATACAAATAATAGGCCTTTTCTAAATTCTTTTCTGTACCTTCCCCATTTTTATATAAATAACCGAGATTATTTTGCGCAATATTAAATCCATTTTCAGCTGATTTTTGATGCCAATAAAAGGTCATTTTTAAATCTTTTTCTATTCCTTCACCATATTTATATAAATGACCTAGATTATTTTGTGCAGAACGATTTTCATTTGCAGCTGCTTTTTGATACCAATAAAAGGCTTTTTCTAAATTCGTTTCTGTACCTTTACCATATATGTATAAGCTTCCAAGATTATTTTGGGCAACATTGTATTCTTTTTCAGCTGGCATTTGATAAAGTTCTAATGTATTTTCTTTACTAACCTCAATACCATATTCTAAGTCATAGCATAATCCAAGCTGAAACTGTGCGTGTAAATATCCTTGTTTAGCTGACATTTTGAAAAATTCAAAAGCTTTTATTTTATTTTTCTTAATTCCTTTGCCATTTTTATAACAAATACCTAAGTTATATTGTGCTATTTTATTTTCATTTTTTGCAGCTTTTTGAAAATAACTAAATGCTTTTTCATAGTTTTGTATTATTCCAATTCCATTATAATTATTGATTCCAATTCGACTTAATCCTTTAAAATATATTAATTTATAAAACTTTGCATCTTTATCTTTGTTTTTTTTAAGATTCAATTTTTTATAATAATTCTTTTCAAGAATGAATTTTGCAATGATATGATCATTATATGCCGCCTTTTCATACCAGCAACAAGCTTGTACTTCATTTATTTTTACTCCAATTCCATTATAATAACAATATCCAAGTTAATATTGAGCATCAGCAATTTCTTGTTTAGTTAAACTTTCGTAAAGTTTAAATGCTTTAATTTCATCTTTTTCTATTCCCTTTCCTAATCTATAACAATTTGCAAGATGAAGTTTTGCAATGATATTTCCATTACTAGTTTCTTTGTTATACCAATATACTGATTTCTTTTTATTTTTCTGAATTCCAATACCAAATTCATAGCAATGTCCTAAATAAAATTGTTCAATAATACTTCCATTTTCCACAGATTTCTGATACCAAACAAATGATAACTTTCTATTACATTCAGTCCAATTTCCATGATAATAACATTTGGCAAGATAAACTTGTGAAATTGAATAATTATTTTCTGCTGCTTTTAAAAATAATTCAAATGCGTTAAAACTATCATCATCTATATAATAAAGTAATCCGAGAAGCCAAATAAATTGCTGTTTATTTTGATTTTTTTCAAGCCAATCTAAAAGATTGTTTCTAGTTTGGCTTAATTGCAATATTTGATGTTCGATAAGATGTTTAATTTGATTGAAAGTAATTCCTTCATCATATTTCTTAATTACATATCTAATTAACTTATTAATAGTTATATCATTTATAAATATCGACTCAAAGAAATCTTTTGATAAATTTATAACTTGAAAAATTGAATTTGAAGGATCGTTTCGAAATCTAACACATCTGATTGGAAAGATTCTTGATTATCTAAACTTATTCTGCTTTCAGATTTAACGATATTCATTGAATTAATTGTTGAATCGATTACTAAATCCTTATATATATCAAGAGTATCTATGCTTGTCTCACTACATTCATCTTTTATAAATACATCATTTTCTTCTTCATCAATGATAATCAAATCATATTGTTCAAGAGAAATGATTTCTTTAATGTTCGAAACTACTTTTTGCATAATTGAACGCTCATCTGGCTCATATTTCTAACATTCTAATCTAATTAAATAAATGAATATTAGAATTCGTCTTTAAATAAATAAAATATTAATTATTTACCTTGATAAATGTTACTATATTCAGTAGGAGTTCCATCAATAATTTCTTTTCTTTTTCCATTTATTATATCCAAAACTAATTTTATATCATAATTCCCACCT